TGTTTTGTTTTTGTTTTTGTTTTTTTTTTTTGAGGCAGAGTCTTACTCTGTTGCCCCAGCTAGAGTGCCGTGGCATCAGCCTGGCTCACAGCAACCTCAAACTCCTGGGCTCAAGTGATCCTCCTGCCTCAGCCTCCCGAGTAGCTGGGACTACAAGCATGTGCCACTATGCCCGGCTAATTTTTTCTATGTATTTGTGGTTGGCCAATTAATTTCTTTCTATTTATAGTAGAGACGGGGTCTCGCTCTTGCTCAGGCTGGTTTGGAACTCCTGACCTTGAGCAATCCTCCCGCCTCGGCCTCCCAGAGTGCTAGAATTACAGGCATGAGCCACCGCACCCAGCCCAGTCACTGTTTAAATTGCCCAAATTATCTGATAAATATCTTCCCCCCCACACACTTAGTCAGGATCAAACCAACATACACCCATTGCATTGGGCTGATAAATCTGTTAAGTATCTTTTAACATATGACAGCTCCCCCTTCCTCTTTTTTTTTCTTAATCTTGCCATTTGTTTATTAAATATGCTAGGTCATTGGTCCGGTAGTGTTTCCCCCATATTTTATTTTAGAGATCGCCTCGCTGTAAGCTGGTAGAAAACAGAGAGGCTTGTCAGGATTCTAGTTTGATTTGGAGGCAAGAACATTTTGCAGGAGGTGAAGATGCTTCATCTCCTACCAAGTCAGGTGTTCTCAATGTGGCCCCACATTGAGATCAGACCAGATCTGCCCCAAAATTCACCTCGATGGAGTGTTTTTAGGGTGATTTGCAAAGTTAAGTCAAAAAGGCAAATTTCTGAATCTCTAATCTAAATCTTCTGTGTCACCCAGAGGAGCTGATCCTAAACTAGTAGGTGATGGGGGCAGGGGGAAGGAAGAAGGAAGAGTCGCTTGTCTCCATTTCACTGAAGATGAAGTCCCCTAAACAGCTAGATCCATTAATTCCTTAGGGGTTACAAGATAGGGATATTAAAGTTATATGATTCCTTTTGTATTTATTAGTGGAAACTATTCTATAAAGAACTGTCCCTCAACTACTATTTATTGACCTTGAAATTCAGTCTGTACACAAAAGGCAGGGTAAATCCTTGGTTCTCTCCTGTCACCAGTTTTCAAAATAATTATTATCAGGCTGGTCTTTGCTTCTAGTTCTTTCCAGTGGAGAGAGTAAGGAGATATATATATTTTTTTAAAAGGGAAAATAATCATGAACTTATACTGATATTTCCAATTCAAATTCAGGACCACTAGGCTTTGAATTCTTGTATTTTATATTTATGTGTTTCTTCCCCCTCCCCCCCCATTGCTGTGGTAGTAAGTAACTTGAGGTCATTCTCTGTGGGGTTATGCCGACAACTTGATATGTGATTAAATTTGGATTGTTGCATTTCGTTTCCATTTTTATTTCATTGTGTTTTATGGTTATGTAAAACATTTATGTGGCTCCAAAGTCAAAATGGCCCCTAGCCATAATCCTTCCACCAGCTGGTGCCTGGCACGTCAAAGACATTCACAAATATTTGTTGACTTTTTAAGACTTTTGTATATGTCCTATTCTAATTCATCCTCTGGAGGGTGGTTTCCAGGAGAAAACCAAAGGCTTGTTATGGACCAGATCTGCCTTAAAGTTCAGCTTGATTGAGTACTTTTAGGGTGATTTACAAAGTTAAGGCCAAAAGGCAAATTTCAGGATCTCTAATCTAAATCCTCCACTTCACCCAGAGGACCTGATCTTAAATTAGCAAGTGTTGGGAGGTGAAGGAATAAGGAAGAGTCCCTTGTCTCCAAGTTCACCCAAGATGAAGGGACCTTCCTTTCTTAAGACTTTCTCCTCCTCAGTCCCTGCCTTTTGCAATTTCCTCTCCATCTCTTTGGCCTCCTCTCCTAATATAAGTGTCCTTTGTGAATATTTCAGCACATATAGCATTACTATAGCCCATAATTAATGACTATTAACTATAACCATAACCTGTCACCACCTGACACAGCATCGTGAAGTGTCCCTCACCGTCAAGGTTGTTTCCAACTCTGCTTTCACATTTCTGACAAAAAAAGAATACAAAGAAGCTATCCTAGTCATTAAAAAATAGATCACCTTGTTTCTCCACTACAAGGTTACTCTTCTAAACTTTGTAATGAATAAGTAATTATTCAAATGATAATTCGAGATTATGCAACTGTCCTGGTTTCTCATCATACTTTTACTCCACTAATTTTAGCCTCTATGGATGATAATTCTTGCCCACAGTTACTATGTTCTTTGCCAAATGGCAATTTTCTTTTTCTATTTTCATCATTCCTTCTCTATTAATTAATTAGAATTCTACTGTAAGGAAAAGTTGCTCCTTCTACCCCATTTATGTATTCAATTATGTATGTAAGTCTATAAGGATTCATGGCCACTTATTTTATGGTATGGGTTATAATCCATCACCATCGTTATTTATTTCATCATTCAAATAATAGAGGATTGGAGTAGTGAGAGAGAAGAGATAAAGAGAACTCTAAAGGATATAGGAATAGCAGATTGAAGAAGCAGCCACTGTACTTTGGGCTGAGACAGATCGCCCAAGGAACAGCCCCCAGGGTTGAGAGACCAACTCACCTCTAACCTGCTGTTGTCTCCAACTACAAGTTCCCCCCAAAGGAAGCAAAAGCCAACAAGAACTCAAAGAACCAATAAGCCCTAAGACTGAATTCTTGTTCCCATATGATCGGTTCTCTGTTCAGCAGCTGGAAGGATCTCAAATGTTAAATGGAAATGAAATCATGTCACTTCCCTGTTCCCATCCCTCCAATGACTTCTCACCCCACTCACATCAAAATACAATTTCTTACCAAAATATAAAAAAATAATAAAGAATCCTACCAGGTCCCTACCTGTTCTGGGCTCTCTTTTCAAATTCATTTCCCACCACTTTCTGCCTCTCTTATAGCATTAGAGTCACATGTTCTTCTTGCTATTTCTCTAATATACAGGTTTATTTCCACCTCAGGGCACCTGTATTTGTTGGTCTCTCTATTTGCAAAACTCTCCTCTGGATCTTTGCAAAGTTTGCTCCCTGATTACATTCAGGTCTCTGCTCCCTGGTCACCTCCTCACAGGAAACTTTCTGACCTTCCTCCTCTTATTCCCTTCCCTGTTTAATCTTTCTTCATACCACTTATCATTTGTATTATATGCTCATATAATATATATTTATGTGCACTTGTTAATGCCCTCTCCCCCTATTAGACCATACTTTCTGTGAAAGTATGTTCCTTGACATAATCAGTGCTGAACAAATAGGTGTTGAATGAATGAATAAATGACTTTATATTCATATGACCTACAAAAGCTCCTTGGCATACACAAGCAGTGTCACCCCTATGCAGATGACACCCAAATTCCTACTTTTCACATATATTCCAGACTTATAACTCCAACTTCCTGGGGGACATCTTCAAATAGCTGTGCCACCACCACCACCAGGTCAACATGTCGCAAAGCATCCAGACCCTCATGACCTGGACTACCTCTCATGATGTGGACATCTGGTCTCTAACCCTTTCCATTACTCTTTTCTTTACCTTCCACATAAAAGCAGCAGCAGTAGCTGCTGAAATCATACTGTGCAATGGGTCTCACTTCTGTCCCTTCCTCTCGCAGTCCTTTAAGATACATTCTTCTCACTGCAACCTGGTCACGGAGGTGGAAGGACTCCACAAGGTTTTTCAGTCCAGGCGCCTGCCCAGTACCCAGATCCTTTCTCTAGCTATTCTGACAGCTGCTCATGCTTGGAACTTCTGCTTTGAATACTTTTGGTGACACTGACAGAGAATTCTCATTGGATAATTCTCATTGTTAGAAAATTCATTGTTATGCTGAACTGAAATGATTTTGTACACACACACACACACACACACACACACACACACAAAATAGCTATTCCTCCTGGAACATGACAGGACTGAAAATGTGTGAAGAAATAGCAAATCCTCCATGAATTTACTGTTCATCCAATTTTCTGGTCTCCCTCCTGGAGAATTATACTTCACTATGTTGAACTCAGACACGATTGGGTAACTAGCTCTGGTCTATGGAAATACAGAGGAAGTGGCATGTGTCACTTGTGGGCAGAAACTTTGAGAGCCAGTTTATTTATTGATTGATTGATTGATTGAGACAGAGTCTCTCTCTGTTGCTGGGGCTAGCGTGCCCTGGAGTCAGCCTAGCTCACAGCAACCTCAAACTCCTGGGCTCTCGCAATCCTCCTGCCTCAGCCTCCCGAGTAGCTGGGACTACAGGCATGCACCACCATGCCCGGCTAATTTTTTCTATATATATTAGTTGGCCAATTAATTTCTTTCTATTTTTAGTAGGGGGGGGTCTCACTCTTGCTCAGGCTGGTTTTGAACTCCTGACCTTGAGCCATCCTCCCGCCTTGGTCTCCCAGAGTGCTAGGATTACAGGCGCGAACCACAAGTGCCATTTTAAATGACCTCTTTTCCCTTCATGAGACAAGCCAGGTTCCAGATAGAGGCTGCTGCTTCAGTCGGGGTTCCAGAGTGAAGATGACATGGAACAGGTCCAGACATTTAGTTAGGGAGCTGATTTGTGGATCTTTGCTCAAGTAGAGCAGCATTTTACAACTGTTAACGTGAATTTTAAAGACGAGTTAGGGGCAGAACCATTTATAGAAACCAGATGTTCTGTCTTTTGGCAAAGTTGCAGCGCCGGCAAACTAGGAGCACGGGAGGATGGGCCTGCACCACTTCCTGGAGACTTTGCCGGGCAGAATCTACCAAGAGGACCCCTTTCCCGCCGTGCCCTGGAGGCGGGGCCGCCCTTTCTCACGCAGGCGCCCGCGGGTTCCCGCCTCCTCACCCGCCCGCCGCGTGGCAAGGGAGCGACCCCCGCAGCCCCGCCCTCTCTGGCGCCCATGCCCAATGGGCAGCCGCAGACCTTCCGGGGGGCGGGACGTTCCCTGGGAGCCGTTCTAGTTGGCCCGGCACAGCGCGTGTCGCTATTACGACTCGGTCACGTCGCGCTGCGACTGAGGCGGGGCGTCTGCTCCGGGCACTTGAAGGAGACTTGGGGACTCCCGGGCGCGCGGTGCCTTTTGGGCTGTTGGGAGTCGCTGCTGCTGCCATTGCCTGCGCTCCATGAGGAAGATGCTCGCCGCCGTCTCCCGCGTGTTGTCTGGCGCTGCCCAGAAGCCGGTGAGGCAGCCCGGGGTGTGGCGCGAGCAGGGCTGAGGCGGGGCTGGAGGCGGCTGGAGGGGGAACCGGGACTTGGGGCGCCGCCTGTGGCCTAGCGCGGGGTGAAGGGCGCGAGGGGAGCCGAGGGCCTTTGTTTTGTCTCCACGCGGTGCATTGTTCCCGGCTCCGGGGAAGCGGCCTCCCGGCTCGCCGAAGCCGACTAGGGAGGAGGGGCAGCCCTCTGAGGTCCGCGTGGACACCGTCCCCCTCCGCCAGCTCAGCGCCAGACAAGTAGGGGTGCTTAAGAAGTGCCGGTTGGTTTACAGGACATGGAAAGGGGAACTGGGCTCCTTCGAGGCTCCGATTGACCCTACTCGTTTTAGATCTTCCTAATTAATTTCTCTTGCCCAAGAGAGCTTGTACGCGGTAATAAAAAGCCTGGAATCCGGGAGACAGAGTGACTCGGTACATACACCACCCTCGCTATTTACTAGCTCTGTGACCTTGGGCAAGTTTTTTTTAACATCCTTAAAGCCAGTTTCCTTATCTCTAGAATGGGGATAAGAGTACCTACTTCGTGTGGTTATCGTGAGGATTCCACGAATGAATAGTGCCTGGCACATAGTAGGTGCCGTATGTGTTGAGTGTTTACTGAGTGTCCAGTTTGGTACACATTTTTGTGCTCGGCTCTAAAGAGGGTTCACACAGGGTCACGCTCCTCAAAAATGAACTTCCTCCCCTCCCTCAACACCTGAGCTTTTCTTGGCAGTCAATTCAAGAGCAGTCGAGCAGAACCCAGAAGAAACTGCCTACCCCCTTACACACATACTCTTAGGGTAAAAGTAGCTGAAGAAAACAGCAGTGATGCTTGAGAGAGGGTAGGGGTTAGAGATTAGCACCTGTTTAGACATACCCAACACCTGAGCTTCCAGCGCTTTGACCTCTAGGCACAGTCAGTGTTACTTGGTGTAACTGCAGCCAAGCTTTGACTTGTAATTCTGGCTTTAGTAATTCCCCCAGGACTGAATGCAACTCTGCTTAGCATGGGCAGAGATTGTCAAAAGATAGGAAGCGTCCCCCTCTAGGAATCCCACTGACTAAAATAATGACAAAACACAATTTGATTAATCAGATATTAGCATTTAAGTTGTAACTGGACTTACCTGAGAGAGAAGCACATTTTACGTTACGTTATTTCTGCATGTATGTGTGGTATATCCAACATTTATTGAGCTCTTAATATGTTTCAAGTACTAGGCTAAGCATTTCACATGCTTTGTCTCATATAATCCCCACAACATCAGTTTTTAGTTGTACATAAGTAATCGAAACTTTATTTTCTGTCCTGAGTTGCTTGGAGAAGTTAGCTGAAGGTTGATTTTGCGTATAGCTTTGAGAATGGACAAAGAATAGAAGTGAAAACAAATAGCAGCTTTGTTATTGAAGCTTTGCACTTCATCACTGGAAATTAAAAATACTTCTTTCTATACTACTACTAAAATCAAACTTAGCTAGTTTGAAAGTTCAGTTGGGCTATGAAACTAATGTTAAATATCATACCTCTCTGCCAGAGTTTTTGCTTTAAGAGATGTCATCCCCTTTGGGGCTGACTGTTGGTAGAGGGCTGTACCAGAATTTAAGGGCTCAGAAACATCCTTAAATCCTTATTGTTAGACACTTAATGTAGATTTATTATGTCTTTTGAAAGTCAGATTTATCATTTCCTATGTTAATTTGTAGGGTTCTTTTCCCCCACCTTACAGTAGGAAGAAAATTGAGTTCCAGAGATGCAGTCATTTTAGAAAGTGCCCAGATATCTTCCCATCTGTTGGTGTAAACTCTTCAGATAAGTAGGAGTTTTCTGTGTGACTCTACTTGTGAGTTAATTAGGATCCTTTCCTGAAGCTTCTAATAGAACTAAAACTTTCACCTTTATCTTTTTAAACCATGGAGTAATAAAGTTTAAGATGTCAACTCTTTTGTATATTTTGTAATTCTTCATACTTATGGATGTCTTTTTGCTTAAATGTAAATAACACAAAATATATCAAAGTTTATTTTTTATATTATACATGTAAAAATATATTTTTGTGTCATAACATGTAACCAAAATGTTTGTGCCCCCATAATATCCTGAAAAATAAATAAAATTTAAATAAATAAATAAATAAATAAATAAGTGAAAAGATATTTTTGCATATAAGCCTTTCTTTTTTTCAAGTTTTTTTTTTAGAGGGTCTCACTCTTGCTCAGGCTGGTCTCGAACTCCTGAGCTCAGAGTGATCCTCCTGCCTCGGCCTCCCAGAGTGCTAGGATTACAGGTGCGAGCCAGCATGCCTGGCTGCATATAAGCCTTTCAAAAAAAAAAAAATCCTGATAGTAAATTATAAGCAGCTTGCCCAGATTCGGCACTTGTACAACTAGAGTCACACCATCGTGAGTTATACTCTACAGACGGAGGGAAAAAGGTTAGGCAGTTGGTCTGATGGCTGTGACACTTCTACCTGAAGTTAATCCCTGCAGCTTACCTCACAGGTCTCTGCCTCTGTGTTTTTTCTTTTCATTTTTTCTTCTCTTATTTTTTCCTCCCCCTCTTAAAACCAGGGGTGTACAAAGATTTATATCAGGCTTAACGATTGCCATTGTCTCAAAGAGTGTTTGGTGTGAAACTTTGAAATAAATTACAAGATCATGATTTCATTTTTGAATGAGGTTATAGTTTTTGGAATTCTTATATTACACAGAAGACTGAATTGCATTGAAAAAATTTATTCTTTGTCTTATTGTTTATATTTCTGTTGTGACTCCTTTTGTGAGATCTTTACTACCAGTATTCTTTTGGCTTTATAAGTAGTAGGTAAGATTTTTAATTTACCATGGTAGAATCTGGAATTTTTGAAACATTTTTCCTCTTTTACATGACTAGTTCCTATGTATTTAGGAACTTAAAATTTTTATTTTTCAAAATCTGATACAGACTTTTAGCTTTAACTTAACTTTGTTCCTTTTAACTCGTTACATCAGTGGTTCTTATTTTTGAGATTCATAGTGAAACAAGGGAGAAGTATCCAGGTAACTTTTTTTTATTTTTTGAGAAATAGTCTCACTCTGTTGCCTGGCCTAGAGTGCTGTGGTGTCAGCTGAGCTCACAGCAACCTCAAACTCCTGGGCTCAAGTGATCCTCCTGTCTCAGCTTCCTGAGTAGCTGGGACTACAGGCATGCGCCACCGTGCCCAGCTAATTTTTTATTTTTTTATTTTTATTTTTATTTCTTTTGAGACAGAGTCTCACTGTTGCCAGGGCTAGAGTGCCGTGGTGTCAGCCTAGCTCACAGCAACCTCAAACTCCTGGGCTTAAGCGATCCTCCTGCCTCAGCATCCCAAGTAGCTGAGACTACAGGTCTGTGCCACCATGCCTGGCTAATTTTTTCTATGTATTTTTAGTTTTCCAGCTAATTTCTTTCTGTTTTTAGTAGAGACGGGGTCTTGCTCTTGCTCAGGCTGGTTTCGAACTCCTGACCTTGAGCGATCCACCTGCCTCGGCCTCCCAGAGTGCTAGGATTACAAGTGTGAGCCACTGCGCCCGGCCCCAGCTCATTTTTTATATATGTATATTTTTTAGTTGTCCAGCTAATTTCTTTCTATTTTTTTTAGTAGAGATGGGTCTCACTCTTGCTCAGGCTGGTCTAGAACTCCTGAGCTCAAACGATCCTTGGCCTCCCAGAGTGCTAGGATTACAGGTAGTGAGTCACCACACCCAGCCCCCAGGTAGCTTTCTGAAAGTCATAATCTTAGTCTTTACCTTCCTTCTCTTTATTATAAAGCACTATCATTCTTCATTGTGTTGACTTTAGGACAGAGAAACAATGTACCTTTTCTCTATTATTGTTGCCTGGCTGGTTTGGTCTCTATTTTTACTTTCCCAAAACTGCAATTTCTATAGTTGTATTTGGAAATTTATTTTGCAATACAGAAACTATTTCTGGTCCCACAAAATATTTTGTTGACTGCCAAAAATAACACATCTGTTTCATGATTACCAAATACAACCTTTTGTTTGTTACCTCACCCCTCTCAGCTTCTTCCCAAATTCCTAAATTTTCTTCACTTTTCTGAGATATTACTTGTGGATTCTCTCTGCCGCTAACTGAAACATTAATTTTTTTGTAGTTAAAATTTTTTCCTCCAGCAGTGTCATTGTCTCTGTTGGCTTTATCAGTTAATGGTATATTCATGGGTGAAGAGATAAGTAATTAGCTTTCTGCCTATTGGCTTGTACACTTGGCAGGTCAGTCTTAACTCTTTCCATCAAGATCAATTCCAGCGCTAGAAGTTGGATTGTAAAGTCATAACACTGTATGAACACATCAAATGTGTTTTGTTTTTTTTAATGGGATCTGATGAATATGCTTCAAATCTCCAGAAGAAGAAATCACATTGAGTTTACATGTCAGTGTGTGAAAATGTGGCAGAAAGTGGTTAAAATATTAATTGGTTAAATTTTGGGGTCTAACCTGAGCCTTAGCAATCACATAGAATACTTGTGCTGTGAGCAGGTATGTTCAATTGTAAGAGTGGAAAAGGAAGCAAGTCCATTGTTTTTAAGTCAGAGAGTGTTCAGTATCTTTCCTTTAGTCTTGTATGTCTCACTGTTATATTTATCTCATACTTAGAGTAGTTTAAAATATTTTTTCTTACTGATCCATTTCATAGAAAAGTGAAATTTGCCTGGAGTAGGGATTAAATCATAGTTTTATTTGAAGTATAATTTTGAAAGCGAATCTTTGGCTTGCTCAAAATAAATGGTATCTGGTTTTGACTAAGAATAGCATAAATAGACAAAGCTCATAGATTATCTAGTGTCTTTAGCCATTAATTTCATTCTCATTGTAATTTCTTTGAAAACAAAATGACTAAGTGGATGGATTTGGTTTTTGCCTGCTTTCTCTTTATGCTTGTTTGTCTTCAGATGGAGGTGTGACCGTGTTTCGTTGGCCATAGCCTGGATTCATTTTGGAAGACAAGATAACCAGCTTAGTGAACAGAATGGAAGAGAAGCCCATGAATATGTTGGGGCTTACTAGAGTTCCATAACTGCATCCTGATCACTGATTAATAATAATAATGACTTTGCAAAATGACAATAAAAAAGTTCTGATTTATTTCTATATATTTGTCTTTTAAGGCAAGCAGAGTGCTGGTGGCATCCCGTAATTTTGCAAATGATGCTACATTTGAAATTAAGGTAAGCAGTAGTTTAGTTCATAATTTTTCACAGGTATACTCTGATATACAGTTATACCTTTAGAATAGAACATTTTAATATTCATCTTCCTTTTGTTCATTTTCTTCCAAATGTTCCAGGAACAAAGATTCAGAGAAATTTAGCAAAAATTAGAATTTATTATTCTTAGCACCTTGTTGGTGTTTTGTCGGGGGAGGAGGGTAAGCTAAAAAAATAAAAACAAAAACTTATGCCAAATCTTAGAATGTGATTCAGTGAAACATTTGAATAAGAGAAATCTTAGCTGTTTCTTTGAATGTTCATTTTTCAACCTATAACTCCGTTGACTTCTAGGGGGTTTTAGTGAAAATCATCTTAGAAAGATTTCCTTTCCCCCAAACCCCATCCCATTGTACAGTGAGGTTTATAGATTTAAGGAATCAGAAGCAATAGGAAGCATTTCTGATGTGCTCCTTTGCTGTTTTTTGAGTTCAGTATTATTTGCAATGGAATTAGAGTGAGTCAGCAGTGTTTGCAGTGTAGTAAATCAAGGATGACTGCCTTATTCCATTTCAGAAATGTGACCTTCACCGGCTGGAAGAGGGTCCTCCTGTCACGACAGTGCTCACCAGAGAGGATGGGCTCAAATACTACAGGATGATGCAGACTGTGCGCCGAATGGAGTTAAAGGCAGATCAGCTGTATAAACAGAAAATTATTCGTGGTTTCTGTCACTTGTGTGATGGTCAGGTGAGTGGTAGGTTTGTAATAAAACTGTGTTATTAATATTTAGATATTTAAGTATGGCTTGTATTTATTAGTTTTTATCCTGCCTTATGTGTCAGAAGGATTTTGAATGGTATTTTGAATTAAAAAATTAGAATGCCAAAACCTGCTATGAAGCTTAGGCTAAAGGATTCATTCACACATAACATTGCCAATTTCCTGTACCTGTTCTTAGAATTTTACTATTTTAAAACTTTCTGGCATCATGATCACCTATACTGTATACAATTTTGGGGGAAAGGATTATTTTGTTTGTTTTTTGTTTTGTGGGTTTAGGTCAAGGCTTACAGATTCAAATGCATACAGGGGCCAGGCAGGCAGAATAAATGGGTGAAGAAGGCCAGGTGTACAAACATAGAGAATGGTGACAGGGAGGGACTAGTGGTGAGCTGGGGTGGCCATGCCTCACCCAGAGGGGATGCCATGACTTGGTTCCAGCCAGTTGGGCTAATGTGGGGCTAATGCTTCCTATTGTTTATTTCTCCAAAAGACAGAAGTCTCAATTTTCATGTGACATTCCCCCAATTGTTTTCATGTTGACAATGATTCAGGATTCAGGATTTTTTGTTTGTTTAATCACCACAGAGGCTAAAGAAATAGCACAACTGTGGGTTGCCAGTTCATGGCTTCTGGCTTGGGGCTTATCTTCCCCTCTGTTTTTTGATGGAAAATAGCCACTTTTCTCTGGTTATTGATGATGAGTTCTACTAGCTCAAATGTTTCATAGCAGTCTAGGAAACCTTTTTATCCAGAAACATGTATCATATTGCTTCACGGTTTCTTCTACCGCAGGAAGCTTGCTGTGTGGGCCTGGAGGCCGGCATAAATCCCACAGACCATCTCATCACAGCCTACCGGGCTCACGGCTTTACCTTCACTCGGGGCCTTTCTGTCAGAGAAATTCTTGCAGAGCTTACAGGTTTGTTATTGATTTGCAGGAAGGGGGCATGGGTGAATTACGTTTTTAAATATCTCCTGTTAAGAAGCTGACCATTATGCATTAATATTTTTCAAAGTTTTAAGTTTTTTTTTTAAAGCCCTCTCTCATTTGGTGCTCTGGTACTTCTGTTGTGCTTTTGAGTAAACTGACCCATTTGTGAAGTCATCTGGCCCCTTGGGTAAAAGTTTAAAAAAGGTTAGTGCTTTAAAATTAGAATAGGGTTTGTTATCACTCTAGTATGCCAACAGAAATCTAGCAGACATAGAAAGTAAGGTTGAAGCACTCCATGGTATACAATGTAAATTCTGGGAATCTTCTTAATATTTCCCTTTTCTTTTTCCCCCTTGATTTTTGAACTACAGTTATCCCTCATTATACTCGGGATTGGTTCTGGGACCCATGTATGCCAAAATCTGTGCATGCTCAAGTCTCACAGTTGGCCTTGCAGAGTCTGTGTATGTGAAAACTCAGCCCTCTGTATATGTGGGTTTTGTATCCAAGAACACTATTTTCAGTTTGTGTTTGGTTGAAAAAAATCTGAATATAAGTAGACCTACTCAGTTCAAACCTGTGTTGTTCAAGGGTCAGTTATATTTAGTGTACAAGTTGGAAGATATTTGTACCTGTCAAAAAAGTCCAGGGTACCATTTGGACTTTTGCTAACATCTGAATGCAACTGATTAGAGAGTTGGAAAGGTTAAGGACATAAAAGGACAGGGAGACAAGAAGGAACATACATTTGCATAGAGGGTCAGATGCTTAAATGATTGAATTGGGCTCTGAGTTCTAATGGTTGAGCCTTGGAGTAAATACTCCAAGGTATGGTTTGGTTTGCTTTGTAAATTTGGTTTTTGATGCTTATGTGTTCTGCCATTTCTAGGACGAAAAGGAGGTTGTGCTAAAGGGAAAGGAGGTTCGATGCATATGTATGCCAAGAACTTCTACGGGGGCAATGGCATCGTGGGAGCCCAGGTAGTAAGCTTAAATTTGGCCCTGACCTGTGTTTTCAAAAACTTTCACATCCCAAGAGAACTTCTGAAGTATTTCAGTATAGTCATATGCTGGATAGTGACTTTTGAGCCAATGGTAAAATGCATACGTACGTGATGGTGGTCCCATGAGATTATAGTGGAGCTGAAAAATTCCTGTTGCCTAGTGATGTTGTTGAAGTGCAACATTACCTTTTCTATGTTTAGGTACACAAATATTTCTTAATCACGTTACGGTTGCCTCCAGTATTCAGTAGAGGAACATGCTGTACAGGTTTATAGCCGAGGAGCAACACGTCATACCACATAGCCTAGGCATGTAGTGGGCCGTACCATCTAATTTTGTGCAAGTACACTCTGTGATGTTCACACAGGACGAAATTTGCCTAATAATGCATTCCTGAGAATGTATCCCTGTTGTGAAGTGACACATGACCGCACTTCCGGGGCTTGATTTACTTTTAAAGACCTATTGCTTCATGCCCCCTACCATTTGGGCAATTAGTAAGTAGAATTGGATGGTGATTTTAAATTTTTCATTTTAGCTGTTTGCTATGTCTTATAAGCAAGAGCCTCTAGCAGTAGCCCTGTATCTTCACCATTTTATTTATATTTCAGTACATTAATTGCTTCATCACATCAACTTTGCTCTAACTCTCCCTGCTCATAGGCAATGCTGACACGGGTACCCAACTAGAAGAGACGGGTGATCAGGATCTCAGGGTCCTAGTAATAATCCAAAGCTGATTTCTATTATTATGGAGTCGTCTTGTTCTCATCAATTAGTGAATGATGAAGAATTAACCACATAAAATTATATCTAGACTTTTTTCCTTTCTAATATATTAAAATTCTGTTAGGTGTTTTATAAAAATCTAGGTTTCATTTTTTTGACTCTTTAGTATTTAGTTGGTTGAATCTTTGAATGTTATTGCTTACTGGTTGAAATACAATATAGTATTTATGTTACTTTACTGGTTTGTTGAAAAAATTGAGGGTGGGATAAGCAGAGATGGGGCTGGGGTAGGGAGAATTTGTAGTAACAGCGTAATTTCTGTCCCATATTCTAGCCAGGAGTTAATTTAGAGCATTAGTATCTCCCCTCATGGATTTCTGTGGTTTCTTTCTTGGTCATCCTTAATGTTAGGTGCCCCTGGGAGCTGGTATTGCCTTGGCCTGTAAGTATAATGGAAAAGATGAGGTCTGTCTGACTTTATATGGCGATGGCGCTGCTAATCAGGTAAGTGTGTCTCTCTTAACTTTCCAATGATAAGTACGGTTTTCTTCCCAAAGTATTTTTAAAGTAGTAGCATATTGGTTATTAGTTGGAATAGCAACTTACCTAGCAAGCTAAAATTTGGCTTTATGGCCAGTGTAGAGATTCTCTCTCAAAATTATGTTTCACAAGAGCCTTATAGGGCACCTTCTTGTGAGGGAGCTCACCTTGGCTTCACAACAGTGCTTCACAAATGCCCCCTTGTGGTAAGGGACATCCTCCTCCCCACTCGCCCTCCCCCTCCCCCATTTCAAACCAGTACTATAATTTACAGACTCTCTCTCTGGGATGCCAGCCAGGGCAACGTGATAGTGTCTGAATCCTGACGCAGTTTCTGTGCTTCTCCAGTCACGGTTCAAATAATCCTCTGTCTGTGGCCAACACTCTGTGAGGCCCTGTTCTAGAAGCTGATTCTCAGATGCTGGTTCACTCTGGCTATCCAGTGGGCTTGATAGATTTATAATAAAGCATAAAAGTAGGTAGCCACACATTTTTACATGTTGCTCTTTTTCCCAGTGTATTCTCTACTACTCGAGTGGCCCCACAGAAGAGTGAGTGGTGGTATTTGGTTTGTCCCTTCCCTTAGTTGCCAGAGTTAGTGATGCCTGCTGCTTCTCCCCACCACCCTCACCACACACACTCCTTTCCTTCACCACCGAAAGCTGGGTTTTAGAAGATGAGGCTTTCATCCTTCCCAGCAGCTATTACAGATAATGAAGTCTAGAGAAATAAGCAAAATGAAACCACTTGAACTTTTTGTAAATACTTCCAGGGTCAGATATTCGAAGCTTACAACATGGCAGCTTTGTGGAAATTGCCCTGTATTTTCATCTGTGAGAATAACCGCTATGGAATGGGAACGTCAGTTGAGAGAGCAGCAGCCAGCACTGACTACTACAAGAGAGGCGATTTCATTCCTGGGCTGAGGGTAAGGACGCCTGTGGTAGAACCAGGGCCATCCATATTCTCAGCTAGGTGCCTTTGTGCATATCCTTGACATCTTAAGAAAAATTGGAGAGTTTCATTTTTTTGTGCATGAACAGATCATATAAAATGGTCTTGGACAGTTTGATTTATACTCTTCGCCTTCCACGTTTATTTATAGGTAGATGGAATGGATATCCTGTGTGTCCGAGAGGCAACAAGGTTTGCAGCTGCCTATTGTAGATCCGGGAAGGTAAGACTAAAGGTTTTCTTTTAGGCCTCGGGTCTAAAAATTTCTGATGACATTTATCCCACAAAGTTAAAAGAATGCTTCCCGCATGCCCATTATAGCTGTTGAGGAATAGCTGCTGATTGAGGTGTATACCATAGAAGCAGAGTCCAGTCCAGGGAATGGGGTTCTTTTATGAATATCCTGGTCCTGATAGCTCACCTCCTGGAAAACACTCCACATTTCCCCAAAAGGATTTGGGGAAAATCCTTTTTCCTAGTGCTTCCTTAGCGTTCTGCTTCTATCTTCAGCATGACAATCTACTTTGCCTTGTAGGATGGTTAATTATGTGCCATCTCCTCCCCACCCCCATTAACCGTAAGCCCCTTGAGTGAACAGATTGGGGATCCCCACGATGCCCACCATGGAGCTTTGCTTATATAGTGGGTATTCGATATAGGTTTGTTTATACAAATTAAATAGTATGGTTCAAGTGTGTAACCTTAGTCTTGCTGTTTCAGTCCTAAGAATCTTTACCTTTCGCTGTATAGCAGTGAGGGAGAGGGGAACAGTGAGATTGGCCTAAAAAGAGGCTTAAGTTCCTTGAGTGCTAGCATAGATTTAGGTGTTCTCCCTAAGTCAGTGTCCCGCAGCCCAGAAAGCACGAGGTTTGCCTTTCAGTGCCATATTGCGTGTGTAGTAATGCACATCAGATGTCGCCAGCAGTGATGGAAATATCAGAAAGGGAGGAGGGAGGGAAGTATAGTGACATTTAACAAGAGCCAGCATGAAGAAACCAGAGCAGGACTAAAATGACAGGTTGGTTTCAGTGGGCTGAGCCATTCTATGTCAGGACTCCATGGCCAAGGCAGCCAGGCCATGGGTAGAAACACAGTGGTATATAGAATGTGTTGACTTCTCCAGCAAGCCTGATCTTGGATTTAGGAGAGGGTCTGGAAACCCCCTGCTTACCACCAGCACAACCCACTTTGTTTCCAAATGGGGGCTGGTTGACATGACATAGTGACAGCTAATGAGGGATTGACCTGTTAGGCAATGCACTAAATACTTCTTAAATATTAATCATCACAATTCTGAGCCAGGTATTAATGTTTTGCCCATTTTGGAGACAAGGAAACTGAGCCACAGAGCAGTTACAGGTACATAGCTACTGTATCTAGAGCCATTTTAACTACTGTACCAAACTACCCAGGGATCCTTGATTCATCCCCTCCCCTCAGTGTTCAGGGCCATCTTCCAGAAGTAGGCTAGGGTAGCATGAGCAAGCCACTTGGTGATATATAGCCAGGCTGGCCAGACTCCAAGCAGAGCCTCGGGGTTTAGGTATCAGATGTCACTGGTGCCTGCTAACTGTTACACACTAGTAAGATCTGGTGAAGCAGGGTTGATTGCCAGCCCTAGGAAACACCATGTGAAGTGGGCATGAGGTAGAAATCTACCTAGCCACTGTGAGCGGGCTCTATAGACATGCTTGATGCCTTTTTGATGTAAAACACACTGTTGGCAGACTGCTTTATTAAGTTCCTATTAAAAATGAGAAGGATGAAACATGTAATAAATAGAAATGAGAATAGATAAGAATACATTGGATTCTGTGAAAGAAGTCTGCCTTTGAGGCCATGGATTGTTGACATGCTGTTCCCATCATCTTGTCTAACCACCTATGGGTTCTGTTTTAGGGGCCCATCCTGATGGAGCTACAGACTTACCGTTACCATGGACACAGCATGAGTGATCCTGGAGTCAGGTACGGTCATGGGGCATCTGAGTGTGGTTTCCAGAGTGGGTAGGCCACTTGCATGAAAAAGCAACCCATTTCAGCATTTGCTTTTGAAGCCAGATACCAGTTCGCTTTGTTGGCATCAAGTAGTTGAGTCTTAGTCTGAAAACAATGCCTCCTAATAATATAGAAAGCATTCTGAAAATCCCTACAGTGTGTAAAGTATGTGTTAGCATGAGCAGTAATTTTTAAAAGAGCATTATATAACTTAGTTGCAGAAGGAAATTAAACAGGTCTGATGGTAGAGGAGTATCTTTGGGTGGCATTTAGCTTTTGTGGGCATTACCCCAAATTCACACATGGTGTATTCCACCTGAATAGGATCTCTGATCTGGAGAGAGGCTAACTGGGTATTCAATAAGTCAAAAAAGCTAGGAAGGTATGAGTTTTACTTTTTCACTTAGCTCTGGCATGTAATTCTACAATCCTAGGTATGACACAAATGAAAAGTTTCAGTGATCTATTATGTTCTTCCCCATAGTTACCGTACACGAGAAGAAATTCAGGAAGTAAGAAGTAAGAGTGACCCTATTATGCTTCTCAAGGATAGAATGGTGAACAACAATCTTGCCAGTGTTGAAGAATTAAAGGTATAGTCACTCTTGGTGGTTTTGAAGGTTGGTTCTCCTTTCTGGGCAATTTTTTCCCCCTATACAAAGTGACGTACTGGGGCATAATTAATTCTGAAATCTCACAGGGCTATTCCTTTAGGTTCCTCTACTCAAGACTGCAGTATTACTCTTTATTAAGATTTTAGTGGAGCAGTGAGCTACCTGAATAAAGAGGAAAGATTAGTGACAGTGGCAGAACCTTTGAGCCCCCTAATAGCACAGTTCTTTTTCTTAACCACTTCGGTACCGCGCTCACCGGCTGCAAAACCTTGCCCACAGCTGGCACTCATAGTCTGCACAATAGTTTGTGCTGTGCATTGACAACAAATCCGTTTTGCTCTTGTGTGATGAGGAAAGCTTTAAAGCACTGAAAGCTTGTTTTACTTTATAGGCGGCTTTACTTGTAATGTAAATCAGAACAGGTAACATATACATATATGTTTTTATTTTGATAACATAATGAAGTTGTGAACATTTAAAAATAAATGAAAAATTAGAAAAGTCATATCACGGCTGTCGGCTAAAGTTGACGTGTGTGTTCGTCTGTGGCTATCGACTATACCGAAGTGGTTAAATATGCTCTGGATTTTTAAGAAATCCAAAAATATCTTGTATAGATAATTTTATCATTTAAAAAAATACATTCCAAATTACCAACTACTGCTACTTCAAGAGTCACAGTTAATAGTAGCAACAGGTCCCTAGTTGGTACCTAAGCTGGTGTATTGATTTAAAACTCTCTTGCACTGTAATCTGATTTTTAGGAAATTGACGTAGAAGTGAGGAAAGAAATTGAGGATGCCGCCCAGTTTGCCACGGCTGATCCTGAGCCGCCTTTGGAGGAACTCGGTTACCACATCTACAGCAGCGACCCACCTTTTGAAGTCCGTGGTGCCAATCAGTGGATCAAGTTTAAGTCAGTCAGTTAAGGGGAGACCACAGACAATGGGTGGTTGTACCTTCAGTGGGCTGTTAGCTGCTTTCAGGAACTGTGTGTTCCCAACTTGGTTAAGGAGGAAGAAAACCCAGAAAGTGTTAAGACTAAACAATACATAGGTTGAATTAAAGAGATAGTAATTGCATGCGGTTTGTATATTGTTGCATTAAAAGATGTTATCGAGTGCTTCAGTATTTAGTGTGAATATTATTATAAAGATTATTCTCAATTTATATAGGTTCAAAGTAGAACTATTCGATTTACTTTGTATGGTTTCAACAAAATAGGAAAAACAATTCCTGTATGTCTGTTCCCAACCCTGTCACCTGTTGGGGAGGAGATCATTTCCCAGAGGCATACTTGGTGTTAACAGCTCACATGACATAGTGTAATCGCGCTGACCTCCATTTCTCCATACTAAGACAATATTTATTACAACCAGACGGGTGGGAGGACAATTGCATTTTTAAATAAAACTTTGCTTCATAATCATTTCAAAGACCAAATAACTTAGTTTTATCCATGTATACATTCAAAATAAATATGAAGCTATTTTCTTAATAGTTACATTCATATCAAACATTAAATACAAGGCACATATGTATCAATTTTCTTTCTCAGATTTAAGCACTATTTATGCATAATCTAAAAATGTGATTCCCAGTGTCTTATTTTTAAACACCCATTGTTTCACCTTTCTAGCAAGTGCTATCTAGGCTGTACTGATTTTTCTTTGTTGAAGTAAATTAAAATTTATTTCTAAAAATGTCCTAATACTGTGGGATGTCAAAACTAAGGCTCACTGTTCTCACAATACATATAATTCTATGTTTATAAATAACATGTTTTAAAAACCCATTTCAGAAAGGACAGTCTTTCTTTAAAACTTTACCAATCTCTTGAATTGTTAATTGAACAATGGTATTTTTTTGTGTGTAAACATAACAGAATGTGTGTACATCAACAGAAGCTTTAATGTAGCATATTTGCTTACTCTGTCACCTGGCTTAGCTGATTGTCATTAAATCTAATCTTTGGTTGCTGAAGACTCCTGAGCCCTTCTTCTGTACTGGGAGACTGCATTCCAGAGCTTACAGAGGAGACCACCACTATGAAACAAACAAAAGAGTTGTCTTTAGAGTCAGAAGAAAACTTCAAACACACACCACAAAATACTTCTTTAGGAGTCCTTATATCAAAAGTTATATGTAATTCCGGATTTATTTAGATTTGCTATCTAGTCTTTAAAATGCAATACCTTGCTTAATGAAGATAAAAATGTTCTCTTTAGGTATGGAGGCGACAGCAGTTGTAGGACATGGCCTTAGAGATACATACTTGGGGAGGGCTATTTCAAATGACACAGGACTGAGAATGCAGGTTGCAGTTTAAAGGAAGGGGTGGGGTCTAGCCTACTGGCACTTCCAAATGTGCCTCATGCCACTCCCAGCTAGGCATGGACAGCAGATTGGGGCCATCGTTTCCCTGTCGCCTTTCTGGCCTTCAATTTCTGCCACACCTCAGCTTTTTCCCCAACTTGAACCTGGCAGAACTCCAGAGTTTAGAGGGACGTCCAGCCCTTTGTTTCCTATTACTTTAAAGCATATTTCACACATAAAAAGTAATGTTCTATTATATGAACTGTTTTGAGGAACTTACCGTAGTCTAAGGTATCTTAGATCTTCCTTAGTGATATCATTAAGAATATCAGAAAGCGTATAACCCTCTTCAATGATCTAAAACAAAGATCAAATGCATAAGAGCTAAGCAGCTTTTTAACAATAGCATAGGAATCGGTTTTTTTGGTTGTAAATTTACCTTTTCAATTGTATTTGCATCTGCTCCTTGCAGCTGTAGCCAGTCTGTAAGCTCTTTATCTGTTCTCTGCCCATGGTGGGGTGCTGGGTTCTCTGTAATATCTGTAATGATGAGGAATTTGTTGTATATTAATGTCTCACCAATAAAACTCTTCAAAAGTAATAAGTTGGATTAACAAACTATTCCAGAATATAAATGATATGAAAAGGAGGCAAATTAAACCTGTGTCACTCAGCTGCTCTAATACGTATTATACAATTCCTAATTCTTAGATTCACTTTCCAGAGAGAATTCTTACCTATGATTCCTTTAGTTAGTTTGGGATTTGACATGTTATCTGTCACTTTAAATACTTATTCCCCCATCTTTAAAATGCTTTTTATTAGGAATCATATCCCTAACTGTACTGGAAATCATGAGGAAATAGGTTTTAGTGTTGACATTTTACATCAGAGCTTATCCACTCCATATTCCAAGAGGTAGCTCTGCAGCTCTTTTCTGAGTAACACCAAATGACCAAGTCAGGTTTGCTAAGGTAGAATTTATGCAGTAAACACTCATGGTAAACAGTAAACACAGTAAGGTAGAATTTATGCAGTTTGGTATATATTTATATACCAAACACTTTTTTGGTATATAATGTGCTATGAAGTTTGACAGACACAGTCATATAACCACCACTACAATCAAGATACAGAATTGCCATGACTCCCAAAACCCCTCATGTGTCCTTTGTAATCAATCCCCTGCCCTCCCTATTCTGATTTGGTTATGTCCCTATAGCTTTGCCTTTTCTGGGGTACTATATAAATGGCATCATGGTATGTAGCCTTTGAACCTAGCTTTTTCACTTAGCATACCACATTTGCAATTCATCCATCTTGTTGAATATATCAGTAATTTTTATTATTTAGTATTCCAGAATCTACTGGAGTCCTGGTTTAATAGAAGATAACCTCAACTCTTTCTTCAAAAGCTGACTAGAATGTTAGCCATATTTTAAACAGTCTCATACACAAACACACTTCAGTCAGAGAAAGTGGAAAATGACTCACCATTAGATTTATATTGTAACTGAAGGTGATGTAACTCTTGAGTTTTCTGTTCTAGAGTTTGCCGTAGAAGATTCTGGTACTCTTTTTCTTTTTGAACTAGGTGTTCCAAAAGTCTGATTACAAAACAAAAAACAAAATAAGCCATCTTCTGGAGAGAACTCAACACCATTCAATTTAATGCAAACATCTATTGCACATTAAGAGATTAAAAAAAGAGGAAAAATAGCACAAGCAGCAAATGTGTTGTTTCTTCAGAGTTCTGTGAATCAGGTTTCAGCCTGTATAGGAGGACGTTCCTTGTATTTTCCTCCCCTTGACAACAAAAACCAATGCTTGGGTATATTTGGACTGAATGTGTCCTCCCAAAATTTGTAAGTTGAAATCTTCACACCCAAAGTGATGGTATTAGGAGGGTGGGGCCTTTGGGAGATCAGACAAGATGAACACCCTAACAAAGACCTCAGAGACTCCCTCATCCCTTCCACCATGTGAGCACACCAAGAAGATGGCCGTGCTGGTGCCTTGATCTTGGACTTCCCAGTCTCTAGAACTGTGAGAAATAAGTTTCCGTTGTTTATAAAAGCCACTCAGTCTATGGGATTTTGTTACGGGAGCCTGAACAGACTAAGACAGTTTTCTCTCAAAATGTATCATGAGCCAATAGATAACTTGACGTTGATCAGTAGAACTCAGCCAGAGGATGATCTGATTATTTAAACTTGTCTCCCTACATTCAGGAAACTACAATGGTTAGGCTCCTTCCTCCTCAACCGAAGGGACAGCAACCCCTGCTTCTGATGTAACAGCTGGGCGCAGAGGCCGGATAGTGGGAAACACTGCTCTGTAGGTTGGGAGGAATGATACCGCTAACATTCACCGAGCACTTCCTACACAGAATCCAGGACTGTGCTAAACACTTTTTATGGATTAAGTCCTTCAACACTTACAGTACTTTTGGGAAATAAGCACCCTTTTTTAAAACCCCAGTTTGGGAGCTAACAGAGCCACAGAATAGTCAAGTAATTTCCCCCAGAGTCACACAGGCTGGGACCTTCTGGTGACACCCAATCTTTCTCATGGTCTCTCTGGGACAAGAAAGACAGCTTGGCACAGCTGAGCCTCAAATTTCTGAGTCCCTACATGCCAGCTAAGGGGTGGCACGCCTGGGGGAGGGGGGGAGGGGGGAGGGCTGGCAGACCAGAGCCATGTCTAGGTCTAGCTTGCTTTGTTTGCTTATACCTAGCACCTGGGATTCATTTGTTTCTTACTGCGTGCTCCTTTCGTTCATTTACGTGATCTGTGCTGGTGAACCTGGGGATACAGGAACTAAGCTTTATTTAAATTACTGAAGTTGCCCTGAGGATTCGCTGCAACAGTGAACAGATGAGACTATAGGTACTCCTGGGTCATCTGGTGGCAAACAGGGTGGGGAGAGACAAACACTTCTGCCCCAATGGGACAGCAAGTAAGAAATCCTTTCCCACCCTACCCCTGCCTGCCTTCATCGTCTCTCTCAAGAAGTTCTCCTTTTATGCTAATGGAGGGGACAATTCTAGCTTGTGCCTCTGCCCTTCCAGTGGAAGGGGCTCATAGGGCTGACATTCACTGGGACAGTCACATCATTCTTTGCAATAGCTTCGATCCTCTGTCAGCTCTGCCCAGCTGCCACACAGCCAAGGTCTCTCGCAGCACAAGGCTGGGCAGCCTGTGCAGGAGCTCACATGAGCACCACTAGCATTAACTTGCTGGCTGCTGTTTAACCAAGTCCTTGTTCCACTCAGACTGGAAAATAACAGAATGACCTTTGAACCCACATATACCATTTTATGAATTTGGTGCTTATAAATCTTGAGTGAAAAATTTTAAAGAAATGCTAAGCATTACTACCAACTCTCATATCTATCATATTTGTAAAACTTTCAAAATCTGGCCACCACTACCATTTAACTAAAACTCCAGGCCTTTAAAAAAAAAGAAATGATTAGATGATTAGATCCACCTAAGATTGAACTTGAGAGGTCCCTGGGAGTGTATATAACTTATCATCCAAAATATGCACCTGGCACCTTATCTCCTCCTATTAAACAGTGATCAGCATTGCCAGTGATCATATGGTAGGCAACAAAGTGACATCTAGAACAAGCACCAACTAGTTTGCCATAGCTTTGGATTACATTTTAACCACTTCGGTACCGCACTCACCCGCCGTGAAACCTTGCCCACAGCCGGCACTCAGTCCGCACGATAGTTTGTGCTGTGCATTGACGACGAATCCATTTTGCTCTTGTGTGATAAGGAAAGCTTGAAAACACTGAAAGCTTGTTTTACTTTACAGGCAGCTTTACTTGTAATGTAAATCAGAGTAGGTAACATATACATATATGTTTTCATTACGTGATTTTTAAATGTTCACAATTTTATTTTGATAAATAAAAAATTAGAGAAATCATATCACGGCTGTCAGCTAAAGTCGCTGTGCGCGTTCATCTGTGGCTATCGACCATAGTCGACGCTGGTACCAAAGTGGTTAAAAAGCCCAATGATAATGTGATTCTCCAGAAAAAATGGAAATCATTTTATTCATTTAACAAATATTTACTGAGCACCTACTATGTGCCAGGAAGTAAACAAAATAGAGCAGTGTGCTTAGGGGACACGGTGGTGCCAGGGTCTCCTGGTTGGGAAGGCTGTCTACTAAAGTCGGCCTGGGCAGCAAGACAGACCACAAGGAAAACATGACGAGGGGGCGAACTTCCTCAGGGTTTGTGTTATGGGATACATATCCACCGACAAAGTGTTAACCAACCCGGAAACTCTGCTACTTCTGCAGGGGCGGGTCACCAGTGTCCACTGCTGCACCTGTGGGACCCAACATCATGCCAGGGACCCCATCTTGGTGAAGAGACAGAGAAAGAAGGCAGAGATGCTGCTGCTGCTGCCTTTAGTATGGATAATTTCTGTGTGGCCCGGGGCAAGGCACTATACCTCTCTGATTCCTACTATTAAAGGAAGGCATTTCTCTAGTCCCTCAGCTGGAGCTGAGAATACGCCCTTGCCCAGTTCAGATGCTTTTTTCTGAGACCTGGGTGAGGCACACAACAACCAAACCAATTGTCTTGTTGGTTCAAGTCATTGTCCCACCCCTATTCCAGGTGGAGGGCCCGGAAGGTCCT